TATACACCGATCTATACATCGATCTATACATCGATCTATACATCGATTAAATAATGAATGATTAATTTACATCATGACAAAATGTACACATCAATTCATATCGTCACTTTTAAAATACGCTTTTATTTTGAAATTCCCACGTTATGTCTCTGTGGATTCCAACAGAAGAACGGCTCAACAGACAAAACTCACGTCGTGTGCAACAGCAGGTGCCAGTGGGAGATAAAATACTCGGGAAACAACAAATTTGTCCGTTCACCTGAAGAAGAAACGCGGCACTGACGGCCCCGTTGGCTCTGCCAGCATGACCGGGTCAGAGGCCACGCCTCCTACGACTACAAGCTGAACAACAGTTGGAAAAGAGCAACGAGGATCACAGGTGCCTTTTCATATTTCATTTGATGGACTTGTGACCCGTCCAGGGTGTACCCCGCCCCCCGCACAGTGATTGCTGGACATGGGCACCGGTGACCCCCGTGACCCAAAATGGAAGAAGCGGGTAAAAGATGATGGATGGATGTTTGTTTTAAACTCCTCTATTCAGCCACAAATATTTTATCCATCCATCATGTTTACCCGCCTCTTCCTCACCGGGTGGCGGCGTCACCGGAGAGGCCTCGGCTGCCTCGGAGGGTTCTGCTGTGAGCCGGGCCGTCTTACCTGTGTTCTGTCGCAGCTCCTCACACAAGCTGACGTGTGGAAACCGAAGCATCTGCTTCCACTTCTTGCTCTTTCCCTTCCTGTTCCCGACGCCGCCTGCAGAGGAGAACAAAAGACGTGAGTTCAAGCTGAGCGGGACGACAGCGCAGCTGAAGTTCTCGTTTCAGCCGCTGCAGATTGAACCCGCGGGACCTGTGTGGACAGAAGCTGAGGCTGACCCAGAAACAGAACCGCAGAGACTCCTGAGAGCCGCCGGCTCGAGACGTTTTATTTTTCACTTCAAGCCGAGGAGAATAATTCACCGAGTCAGTTTTAACTCACAAACCTGTGATCAAACAAACAACCCCTGAAGGAATGCATATATATAGATACTGAAGTTCTCGTTTCAGCCGCTGCAGATTGAACCCGCGGG